ACCAAGAGAAACAGGTCGTCCATGTGAGCGCAACAACACGACTCCAAAACTTCCGTTGTTAATGTTACTGTTGGAAAGGGCCGAGGAAATCGGGTGCCACTGCAAAGGTTCTGGAGTGAGACTCACCATCTAAGATGGGATCGGATGATGGAATTCACTGGAAATGAATGGGATCCTTCTGAAGGGAATAGTGGTAGAGTAGATGGAGCTTAAGTGGACGCATACGCCCCAGACACCAGGGCTCGCCCAGACGTCCAAAAGGCGAAGCCAAGCTCGAGCTGGAGGGATGCTGCTGTCATAAAGAGATGGATGCATTCTTACAGTGCCAAGCAGTGCTCCATGGAAGGAGAAGCCCTGCTGGATTTCATGTTTGGGGGACGCACCAAAGAAAATCGGATTCTGTTAAGGAATCAAGGAAACGTTTCGGCAGTCATAGTAAAATCCAGGTCCAGAGTGAGCCACACAGTCTTTGATAGAGTCTCAATGGTCGCAGAATGGGAGGGGACCACAATCAACCAGTCGTGCGGGTAGATATACGGGCGGATGTGCTGATGGCTTAGAGCTGCAGCTAGTACTGTGGTAATCCTCGTGAATAACCAAGGTGCTGTAGACAGGCCGAAGGGAAGATACAGGAATTGGTATGTTATATTCCAACCATGTTATAAACTGCAGGGACTTTTGATGATACTAATGGATGCGAACATGAAGACAAGCATCTTTCAGGTCCAATGACCTGGCCTACCAACCTAGACGAAGAGTTTGCAGGACAATAGCCAAAGTCTCCAACTTCGGCCTGATGAAAATGTTGAGGGTTAAAAGTTGATAATCAGTCGCCAGTCGCCGGATTTCTTCAGAGTAAGGAAGAAGATAGGAATGAATCCATCTGTTTGGTTCTGAAGAGGGATTATAGTTCTCTTTTCCGTTGGTGAGGCAATCTCATACTCCAATGAACTCTGGCATGTAAAATCAGAAAGGACTGGAGTGAGTCGACGAGGGAAATTGTGGAGATGAGGCGGAGAGCTGGTGAATTACAACTGACAGCTCAGAGATACTATACTCAGATGTCTGTAATAATGTGTGTCCATTTGTGAGCAAATTCCAAAAGTCGACCTCCTACCGGTCCTAAGCCCGGTGGAATTTCAACCTGGTTGTTGTCATTGTTGGGATTTGAAGGAGTGCTTTGGTTTAGAGGGCACCTTGGTGGTGTGGGGGAGAGACTGAAGACTATGGGAGGACTTTGCCGAGGCTCTCGTAAAGGAGACTCTAGGTTGACGAAACCGTGTGTATAGGTTAAGGAAACTTCTGCTGCTTCTGTCACCTTCAATGGTGTCCAGGTAGATTAAGATGCGGATCGACTGAACCCTTGACGACGAAGATCAAACTTCTCGTCCGTCTTGACGCGTTTGGGTTCTTGGAGCATGTCTTCACTGAACTTGCCATCAAAAAGGTCACTCCCTAGTAGGAGCAGGTCTTCCATGCACTCTCTAGATCCCGCCAAAAAGGCCAAGGCCAGGAGAGATTATCAAGAATCACGCTCCTGCGCAAGGAAGAAATAATGGCTGAGCCCAATACAAATTCACGTAGGCATGCGCCCAAATAGTCATGAAGGAACTATGATAGGGAGGGGGTCAGGGTCAGATATTGATTGGTTTCCTGAGATACGAGCCAAGACATCAGAAAGCAGAATTGTAAAGTTGAATACTTTAACAAAGTGGCACATACGTTTGTCTAAAAGAGATTCTTTGTATGCTTTTCAGGAAAAACTCTATTTTGGGAAGATAATTCTGATCGAAAACTAACTTGTCTTTCGCTACAGAAGAAATGATAGGCACTAAAACGAATAAGTATTTTCAGAATTGGCCTTGAAGAGTGCAGTTCTTGGACCGTGATTTCAGGTATTCTTTTCTTATGGACCTTGATAAAGGGATCTCCAAAACTCACATAACAGAGCTCGTCCATTGAAATACATAACCGGGAGTGGAGGAAGGTCTGGCCGAGTCCTTTCGAAAGTGTGAAGTGTGTTTCGGGGAGGGAGGAGAAAATTGGAAAATTCTACTCACTTCTGGTATCTGTTAACGGTGTCTCAGAGAGGCACTGTCCAACTCTCTTTCAAAGTTGGAAGAAATCGGCAATAGGACTCCTCATGTGCATAGCGACCGCGAGGTGACCCGGAGTGGCTGCGTGGAGACCCAAAGTGTCGACAAATTGGAGAACAGGAATGAGAGCGTAACAGATCCTCGAAAATGGGTATAAATTTCCAGTTGAGGGGAGGTCACTGTAGCCCTTGTCGAGCTCAGACGATCGGCGTGAACAGTAGACATGCGAGGGACAATGAACATGATCTCAGTGAAAGTAGCTTTCGTGCTCCCGAGCGCCAGGAAAAAGTGGCCACTGACCGGAGGATACTGATACTAAAAAAAAAAAGATGGGAACTAATTTCAGTCACTTGACTATGGTCATAAACAAAGACAACATTTTTCAAAGTTAACTTCACATATAAACCTTCCGCGCGTAAAACGGACGAAGCTGTAAATAGCTGGGTCAGCAACCCTTAATCGTTTATATCAAAATAATTTTTTTATCAAAATCATTTTTTTTTGGGGGGGGGGCTGTGTACTGTGGCTTGCGGGGCCGGTTGGGACCTCCTAAACGTCAAAACCCATTACGTATCGGCCATGTTTATTTTTTACTTGTACTTTACCGTTCGAAAAATCTTAAATAATATGACAATTGCACCCATACTGGTGTTGAAATTTTTGACCCGTTAAACAGGCATTCCGATAACAGAGCAATTGTTGATATTTGTCGCTCGTTTAACATTGATTCCACAAAGTCTTTTAATATTTCTAAATGAGAGGAAAACCGGCCGCGGTTTATATATAAAAAGATGAGGTTTATGAGATTTAGAGCGCCAAATGATCCCACCTCAGGTGAATCCGATTTGGACAAAGACCTTGAAAAATTAGGCTTAATAATTGAAAAAGACGAAGAAGACGAAGAATATGAAGACCCAGACGATTATTTAGAAGATCCCCTGGCACAACGTATACCCTGCTCTTGTAAGAGCGACAGAGGACGATCACGCGCGTGCAGTAGCTAATGGTTCAAATAGACTTGGACGGCATGGATCACGTGGTTCTCTTGGGCGACCAACATAAAAAAAAACAAAAAAAAAAACTAGGCACGCGCGAGAGAACGAACCACCGCCCAATCCCGCAACTAAACTGGACTCTGATTTATATGAGATCGGGTTAATAACTGAATACGACGTCGAAGATTTAATTAAAGTAGATATTTCTGAAGATCTGCCTGATTCGGTAGGTTAAATGCTTTTAAAAAAACTATTTTAAACTTTGGTTATTAACCGGATTAACTGGGCTTAATTTTACGTTCCTTAAATAAATAAGTATTTATTAAAAACAAAATATGAGCACAACACCGTATATTACTCAGCTTTACGAATTAATCGGCGAAAACCTCCTCCGTTTAAAAAGACAGAAGACACTTGTCTTCACACAAAGAGAATGGAAGTAGAAAAGTCTAAACTCGTCTGCCATGATTGTTGGCTAGTATTGACTCGCATTTATTCAGATGAGGCAAAGAACGTGGGCGGTAAATATAACCAGCATTTTGTATGTAAAAAAACAAAAATAAAACGAGTAAAACATTTAAAATTAATTAATTAATTAAAGAATTAGACGTCAAATTAACTGCTGAACAAGCTGGACTTGTATAATATAAATGTAGCCCACTGTGCTGTGTTAGTGCGCCCTCGTGCGATGTTACAATGGCCATGCACCGCCATTCACATTAACGCGTGCGATGGCTGCCATGTTCCTGATGTATTTCGACAGTTCTGACAAAAATATACAAATATATATATTGATTCTTTTCATGTGATCACTGGCTCTCAGCCCTAGGCCTTTCAGCTTTCACCTCCCGGTAGACATCACCGCTGTTGGTGTGTGCTGCGTCCAGCTTTGGATTTCACCAGAGAGGCAGCGCATCCAGCCTGAGTGGTGACTGTTGATGTACAGTGCCAGAACTACATATGCATGTGCAGGCGCTGCGTGTCGGTACATGCACACAGTGGACTGTTCCTGAGGTTCTGAGGTTCTGTATTGGCTGCTGCTGGCTAGAGGGGGGCTCCATCCCTTGCAGTGGGAATGAACCAGTGAACTGAACATAACTGAAAAACTGTTTCAGATTGAAAGCAGCGTTCTGCTTGCAGTTGATGCCGGAGACCTCATGTAAATTTATTACCATACGATCGTATCCCTTTTTTTCGGTTGAGCTCAACTAGCATTTATTTGATGTAAGTTGGGTTGTAATTAAAAAAAAGTAAGAAAAGAAAGAGGCACAGTCTATTTGGCTTACATAAAGTAAACCGAGTTTTAGAGGGCAAGATTTAAAGAGGCTAGCCTCTCCGAGCTTTAATTGCTGTCTGATATCAAGACGTAACTGGGGAAACTGTAGAAACCGTAAAAGACCTGTTTCAAGTGTCGGAGAAACACTTTTCCGATGCCGTCAAAAAGTTTGAACTTACTTTAAAACTGTTTTTATAATGAATGGAGACCCACACTTTTTATTTGACCGAAAGCAAGCAGACGTTTGAATTAGAAAACCAAATCGACAATTTAAAGGCGATAAAAAGATTAAAGTCAGAAAAGTAAGCTTCCACCCGGAATATTTCAACATTACAAAATCTACCGAAATTGAATGGCAAGTTCAAGTCGAAGGAGTCCGGCAGAAAGGGTTCCCGGAGGAGTTAGACCGAGTCACGAATCGTCTAACCTGCCAGCACATGATGTATCAGTTATTAACATGGAAGCTGTAAAACTAGCTGAACTCGTAATACCATTATCAGAATTACAGACAGACACTCTAGCTCTATGACGTAATAAGAGACTACATTTGAGCTTACGAAGCAGGGAATTTAGCAGAATTTAGCGTCTCAATTGACCAAAAAATAAGTGTACTCAACAGTGAAATAGGAAGGTTCATATTGTATCGTTTACGACTGGTCTGCCAGTTTCGCCGATGTACACCTTGCCACAGTCACCGCATGGTATCTTGTAGACCACTCCTCCGCGTCTTCCGGGTGGGATGAGATCCTTAGGACGCACGAGTTGGTTCCTCAAGGTGGTGGATGATCGGAACACGGTGCGGACGCCGTGGTCCTCCAGGATCCTCTCCAGCCGTCCGGAGATACCATCCACAAAGGGAAGAACGGTGAAAGCCTTGTACTCCGGTCGCTCCACTTCGGTGCTGGTCTTGGGTCTTGATGACTGCCGGATGAAGGACGTTGGATACCCGTTCGCCGTGAGGGCAGCGGTGACTCGGCGTCTCTCGGCGGCTGTGTGGTGCGGTCTGGTGACTAGGCGTGAGGCGCGGTCATGTAGGCACTTGGCAACGCCCCTCTTGACGGACACTGGGTGGTGTGAGTCAAAGGCCAGGTACTGGTCAGTGTGGGTAGGCTTGAGATACACGGTGCTGGTCAGGCTGCCGTCGGGTTCCCTGTGGACCATGGTGTCCAGGAATGCAATGCTGTTGTCTTGCTCATTCTCGATGGTGAACTGGATGCTGGGCTTGAGACTGTTCAGGTGGTCGAGCAGACGGCTGGCTTGATCCCGTGGTGCAATGACAAAGGTGTCATCGACGTATCGTTTCCACAGGGTCGGACGGCAGTCGGGTGGGCAACTCTGCAGGGCTTCTCCTCGAACGATTCCTTGTACAGATTGGCAATAACCGCTGACACCGGACTACCCATAGCTGCTCCGTCTGTCCGTCAGTACAAGCGTGTGATAAGGCACTACCCGTAACTTGAGATTGTAGTTGGCGTGTGCAGGACCTCTGTTTTTACCTGTTACGTGACAGTGATGGCGAACTTTTCTAATTTGATTAATGGGCTTTTCACAAGTCATGCAAATGTAGTCTTTGGAACTGAAGTCGTTTAGGGAACTAAAGCTGCCTCTTCACTTTTAGTTGTAGGCTCGTCCAGGATTAGACATTGGCACTTGGACTCTTTGGTTTTGTAAATTGGCCTCTCGCAGATCCTGCATTCGTTGCATTCGTCGTGGAGTTTCTGTAAGTCGCGCGACCAGGCTAGGGGCTTTGGATGGGCAAATGTTTTATTAATTGTGGCGACTTGCGTCTGGACCTCTGTATGTTTCGCGACTAGTACAAATGCCGTCACATCTGACAACCGCTTATGAATAGCCGTAGGCTTTGTGAATTTGTGTTTTGACCCTGTTTGCCTGTAGGTGGGAGGCGCTCTAAAATAGACTCGAAATCTGCGTAAATGACAAATGGCGCATCCTGCTTGTTTTTCTGGTTTTCAAATTTGAGAATGTTTTGACCTTTTTCGGGAAAAAACACCTTGCAAGGCGCTGTGTCCATTCCTTGGCAGTCTTCTTTGTGTCTGCTGAGTCTTTCTTGCGTTTGAAAGTGAAATAGGCATTTGAAACACCAGTAAGATTTGCCATCGTGTTTATTAGCGTCACCCATCAACCGAGAAAAGTTCTTGACCCAGCAGTAATGGCTCGTTTTACCTCGGGTAAAGTAGAATAAATTGATGGGCTCACCTGTGCGCTTACTTTGGAAAGTATGTAAATGCCGTCCTTGCTCGTGTGGCCAAATACGTTGATTGCCAAGTTATTCTGCAATTCGATGCAGGGAATTTATGACAGGGGAGTTGGAAAGTCTACGTTAGCGAAATTTAAGCCGTCTTCTTTATTGTAAGTCGAAGTTCTATCCTCGTGAATATAACAATTTGGATTAGTTTCCAATTGGTGGTTTAAGTTAACTGAATATAATTTTAAAGCAGCTCTCAACGCCCAGCGAATGCACTGTTGGTCTTTATTTTGGACGTTTACAATTGCTTTCTTATCAGCTAAATATTTTGGAAGTGGAATGTAAGTCGCTCCAACCAGGTTTTACTTTGCCACGTTGATGTAAAACGCAACTACGTTATCAAACACCCAGCCCGAGCCTCGCTGTTCGTGAGTTTCGACATCCTTGATATACTTGGCAAATTGTTGGTCTAACACATCTTTAATTGCTTAAATGGGAAAACGCCTAGTTTAGTCTCGACTCCGGGCTTTTCCATTTTGAAGTTTACTTTTATGGCGGTTGTGCAACTTGTATGAACCAACACCTTTAAACTCGGCTAATGCTTTGTCCTGGATAAACTTTTTGTAAAAATCCAAAAAGTGAATCAAGTTGTCGGCGAAAAAGGGAGGCACCAGTTCCCAGTTTCAGTAGTTACTTTAAAAGCGCCTTATTCTTCGGGTATTTACTTCTTCGATTGCCTGCGGTTTAATGTGTGATTTAATCGCAGTGATCAGGTCTGTTCGCAATATTTTGCCCTTTTTTCCCGTGGCCGTGAATGTGATGTCGCTATAATGTGCTGGAGATTTGATTGGCGGGTGAGAATTCTAAATTGTCGTTGGCTGGCTTGAATTGCTTTTACGAGCTCGGGCTTGGCATGTCTTTTTGGCGGGTGGCGGTATTGGGATGTTATACTGTTTGACAAAATCGGCTAGAAACGATTTTTTTCAATCGCCTAAAATCCGATAATATAGGACAACATTATGGCCTAGTTCCTATATTCATGTCTTTATTTATATGTACATTTTAAAAATTTATTTCATTTTTTCTCGGAGGCTTTGGGGGAGTCAGGGAAGTCCCAGGGGAGGTCAGAGTTCTGGGAAGTTCTTTTCGGTGCGGGGAATCACGTGGGAAGGGGGAAGTTCCGGGGAAGGGGGTCGATGAGGTATAGGAGGGTTGGGCTGGTGTGGAACTGTCCTATCCCTACTACTCGATCTCCCCTTCGCGTGACACTGCCAATCCCATCGTCTAAAAATCGTTGTCATCATAGACCTGGAAAAGGAATACTCCAGGTCCACGGTTTCACAGTGCCTTAGTACACGTGGCGCTTTGCCATTACAAGAAAATAAAAACATAATAGACAATCCCAAACATTCACTTTCATTTGAACCCTGAGGGTAAGTTCATGGGATAATTCTGAAGCAACGTCCAACGAATATTGAGGCTGAAAGATAAACATTTTGATGTAACAAATATAGAAAGTATGGCGTACAACTTAGGAGCCTGCTCTTCATAGGCCTGAACGGGAATATAAAAAAAGACACACCTTTACAACACATCCCTGAATGGAAGGAGACATATTTGCACTCAACCTCCATAGTATCACTTACGCCAAGCCAATAGGGGAGAGTGGTTTTAGCACTTGGACATAACTTATTCTTCAGTAAAGTACTTCTGTTGATATTGGTCATTGTGAATAGTTTCTGATCGGTTGCCTGCAACATCTCTTTACAACTCACAAATCTTCCAGGTAAAACATCGTGATTTGATTTGTTGTCCCGGGTTTCTATGACAATCTCTTTTCAAGTGCATGGTTCCATTGAGTTTAAAGTTCACATAACACCTCTACCCAGATATCAGAAACAGTTGTTCACTGTGACAGTTTCACTACCAAAACACTAATTACAGCGGATTTTCTTAAGAAAAATCAGTTTTTATCTGTGTTCAGCATCAAGTGTATTTTCGTCCCTTGCTTTGTGTACGTTCCTGGTGGATAATCTTTCGTTTTGTCGATATGCATTTTTTTCTTTTCTTAATCCCACCAATCGAATATTTTCTATATTTTTATGATATGGACTATAAATTTGTACTCCAATCTATGTCAGTCAAATTACACTTGTGTGGACGTTTGCATCAACGTCCCACTTTAACTTTTGGAAAGGGAAACAAAAAGTGTTATGTCGATATGGTGTGTTCATTTACATTAGCCTCAATACATTGTTCCTATTATAAGAACGCTGAGTAAAACGGCCAACCCAGCAGACTGTACTCCCGGCAAACTTGAGTAGCTTGGACAAACTGAAATATTTTCAAAAGAAGGCATGAGTTGGTGTCATACTGCTTCCAATTTCTTGAAGACTCTTTGCACACTTCACTGGGCCACTGCCCGCACGGAGTTGGTCTGTTTATTTTAGCAACATCAGTCTGAATATTGTCCAGATCCAGAGATTGTGGAGTCATCGGAAAAATATTATTACTTGTTACTTCCGTTCACTTTGTTGCCACATGACATGAGCATCTCTGCTCAACCATGCCTCAACCGATCTAGCGGTTGCTACTAGTAGTATAGATGCCTTAAACCCGCCATCTTGGACCAGCGCTCCGCCATGTTGGTTGGCCATTTTCTTGTGGGGTGCCCGGGCGGCTCCCCCAGGAGACGATCTCGCACAGGGTACCGGGCCTCGCTGATGCACGTATCGGACGGCTTCGCTCTGCTGGCTGGTGTTCTGACTGCTTTGCAGGCTTGCTGTTCTTCGGCGTCGGGCACCGTTGGTTGGATTTTGCCTCGGTTTCTGATATTTCTCAATTCACGTTTTAGGCATTTACCGAACAAAAGGGATTTCCTAAATACATGTATAATAATTGTACAACGGTGGAGCTGATGAAATACAATAAAACTCAGTAAGTTAAAATTGCATTCTTTTGTCGCAAAATCACCAGTATTTTGTAATTTTGCCCATAGTGTTCGGTTAACGACTTCGCGCATGGTTGGCTTATCCCATAAGGCGGGCAGAATAACTGCACCTGGTTCCATATCTGTTGTCATCAGAAGTGATAAAGGGCCAGTATTGAGTATCAGCATTGGCCCTAATGCAAATGGAAAGGCTTTTTTTTGGGGGGGGGGCAGGTTGAGCTGATATAAGCGCTGCAATTTGCTTGTGGAAAAAGAACAACAGAATCAAGGTCTGCTATACATGTAGCATATACTATGCAAGCACGGGGATGGAAAAGAAAGAAAATAGTAAAGGCGCCCTCTATAAACACTATGAAGCAAAGGGCGACATAGTCTGGATACCAGACCCAATGACTCTGACTACTCTACGAATCAAGGGTCCGGTATCACCCAATGTCCACGTGACCAAGACTGGAGGAACTCCCTCAGTTTTCTGGAAAGAGCCGAAATATTCCGAAGTCGTCCCGTCTATATTCCGCATGTTCTTTTTTTTTCATTGTGCTCCGATTTATTTCAATCATCTTTTCTTTTTTTCCCAGAGACAATTTTTATTTCTCTCTGATCAACACAAACTCAAAAGTAATTAACACAGTTATTAGAGATCGTTTCATTTTTTTGGCTCCAAACTGCAAAAGTTCGTATTAGACTTCACAGATAGCAGAGTAATTTTTCCATTTCAACCAAATATTTTTTTTACAATGATAATACCACTGGATGTCCTTTTTCAAAACTTCTAAAGACGGACGTTTGCTGTTCATTTCCATTTTATAAATGTGAAATCTGGCACCCAGAAGGATAAGATTAAGAGTATTTGAATCTACTGTCAACAATATCGAACAATAAAAGTTTATTGTCTATTACAAGCTGTATCTTGGTTTTGTCCTTACTCTTATCTACTATTGAGCTCTAGAAAGAATTAAGATAATTACAGTTACACAAATGGTGGATACAGGTTTCCTTTTCATTTTTACAAAAGGTACAAAAATTGGAATCCAACTTATGAAGTTTACATAAAACAAATGAGTTCCAAGGATTCTGGGGATTAATCTATACTAAAACCATTCAGCTTAGAGTCCAATGTACACATGAAAGGAACACAAAGACCTTAAACCAAACATCCAAGTCATAGTGAAGTTTAAGTTGCCTTTCCCATTTGTTTACAAACTTTTTAGCTACAGTTTTGCTGAGAAAAAAAAGTCGTATAGTCTCCGAGAGCCCTTTTTGTGGGACAGGAAAACATGCATGTGGAAGAGAATAAAGAGAAAGGGAATATTGTTATTATCCGTCAACAAATCACCATAAGCAACCTTAACTAAATAAGACCACACCATATTCAGTAAAGTTAGTCTGGACATAGAACTGTGCCTGTAATCAACACCACGGACTTCAGATTGGTGGAGAAAGTAACACCTAATATTTTGAAAGTGTCATTATTACCTCACTCAATCTATCTGAGGAGCGTTCTTTTTTAACCTATCCAAACAACACCAGTTTTATCGACACTTGCAACCCTGACATACTTTCAAAGCAGTCCAAAATACAAAACGCATTATACATAGATCTCTCTGTACCAGCATATTGGGATGTTAGGAATCCCTTGTCGCCTACTTTAATACCTTGTACATTCTGGTCATAAATTAACATCAGGGGAAAACCTCAGCACATAAAAGAAACAAACTAGGGCTTAAGTCATCACCTTGCCTACAACCTCGCTCTACCATAAATGATTCTGAAAGATATCCATTAACGAAAACTGAAGAGGAGGCGTGGTTATAAAACAGTTTAATCCATTTAATAATTGATGGACCAAAGTTAAAGTTATCCAAATAAAATAATGTGAAACCGAATCAAAAGCTTTTTCAAAATCACTAGAGAGCATGATACCCGGAATATCATTAGTCTCTGTAAAATGAAGTAAATCATGTATCACACGGATGTTTTCGCCAATGAAGCGCCCTGCCATAAAGCCTTTTTGACTGTCATGAATAATTTTGCTAAGGCACTGTTTCAGCCTCTCTGCAATACAGGCAGAGGCAATTTTAGATGCGCTATTAAACAAAGCGATAGGTCGCCAGTTTTTCAAAAACTGGTGGGGTTTATCCCCTTTCGGCAACAAGTAATGATACTAATTCTCTGGGTCACCGAAAGCTGACCAGACTCATACGCAAAATGCAAAGACCTTAAAAGAAACCACTGTAAATCATGGCTAAAAACTAGTAAAATTCGTAACCGTTAGAGCCAGACGATTTTCCATTTTTACAACCATTCAAAGCTTAAGTAATTTTCTTCATAAATTAATGGACCTTCAATGCGATCCTGCATATCTTTAGTAAGGACATTTCTTCCAGCCTCAACAAAAATCAGAAATAAAGCGCAACCCCAACGGTGGAAAAAGAAAAAGAAATCTGGCCGTAGTACACAACTATACCACATAAAATCTGCTTCAACAATATTTTGGATTTCAAAAACTCACTTTTGAGACCCGTTTCTGCCGAACACCATGGCTAGCTTTCGCGAAAAGGAGCGTGTCGTCATTGCTTCATTTACATCTTATGAAAACGGCTTTTCCAGGATTTTGTCGATGCAATATCGTGGAAACGGTTCTCCGGCTGAGTGTATGTACGCACTGCTGAGCGGGCGCAGTCACATCACTGAACATAACTACACGTAGCATGGTAACACGCGTGTCGTTAAGTTATACACTGTCCTAAATACGAGGCGCAGAGCCTTACCGCTTTGAACGAATTGTGCTGACAATGGGGCTACAGCTGGTGAACGAGGCGGTGAAGGAGACCAAGATCATTTGATAAATACGTCCTGGTAAGTCAGAGTGAAGGAAAGATCTTTTCAATGTTTTTATGTTGTTACTTTATTCCGAAAAAGTGTAAGGCTAGGCTGGCAGCTTAGGCCTTTGGACGAAAACATATCCACTAAAACAGGTCCTGCGAAGTCATAACCTTTTTCGTTTCCACGATGGTACCTCATCAAAAAGGCTTTTCTGCGTGGCGCCACCAACGGTGCAAACGTGGAAAGTTGTTGATAAAACCAGCAGAATTGGTCCATATTTTTTACAGCATTATTACTATTTACTGAGAAGTCACAGTGCCACTTTACATATATAACTCAATACTTAGATACCACGTGAGTATATTAAACTGTATTCCCTATTTTCTTTCGCCATGGTTGCGGTCGCGCTTTAAGTCAACCTTGACATTGATTCCACGAAAAGAATAAAGATTCTCATAAAATTCTCTCGCTTCTACAAGGATATCCTCACTTCAAGTCAAAGTACAATTGTCCTCTTTAACAATGCGACAAATATATTTGTTAATTTAACGAAATTGCGTTTCTCCAGATTAAGAAAATACTTTGAAGGCTTTTTGCCCTGCTCCATCTATCGTGTCTGGGACCTGATTAAGACACCCTCCATTTTAACCTGACGCGAACTGAGAAGCTCCACCAGCTTCCACTGCCTCAAGATATTTCCTTCACACACGTTGGGTGAACATTTTAAAGGTTATTAGATTGGTAATGAAAAGCTAAATAATCCCTTACCGCTTCGCGTGTAGTAGTTTCAGCTGGTCCCGCTTAAGTGGGATCACAAAGCAAAGAATTGTTAAGCTTCCAATAACCATTACCTTGTTCCATATTATTAATATCAAGATGGATATCAATTAAGGAATGGTCTAACCTATTACCCGGCTCAATATCGCAGCTAATCAACTTGGAATTAAGTTCGGCTGAAATTAAAAAGAAGTCTAATCTAGATTGCTTAAGAGAGTCAATACTGTCTCCATGTATATCTACGGAGGTCAAGATTATAAATTCTCCACACATCAACCAAATCCAAATCATGACTTAATTGTAATACCCTGTTTCTAGAAACGGGGTTGTTAATGTGCATATTGTTCACATAGTGTAAATTTACATCTAAAATCAAATTCCAACCCCTACTTAAAATCCTGTGGATGTTATGTAAATCACTTATAAAATCCGAAACATGGTCATAAAAAGCAGGCTCGTCGTTGTTAGGCCCATACAAATTATTGAGTGTTATACAAAACTCAGTAATCTCAATATCAAGGGCCAATAAATTAAGGTTGCCATCTGTCTTCGATTTATAAACTTTACACCCAAAGTTATATTTGGAATGTGGTGGTACCGTTGATGCTCGGTTATTTCTGGCTATTAGTAAATAGGCTAGTTTTTGAACGTAAGCTCCCGTATCTTAATGGCAACCGTTGATCCTACAATATTTGACTTTATACACTGAATCGAAGGTCGCCTTAGCCGAAATGCAGGAATACAACTTTTTTCGACCAATGCAGGCTTTGTGCCCGAGACATACTCTCAGTGGGGACACACTTGCAGTATTGCCCTCTAGATATGGGAACAACCTCATGTTTGAGACGTTGCCAATAACGAGTTTAAAAAAACAAGCGGGCTCTCAGTCTGTAATCCCTGACCCTTGCGTCATTTCTATTTATATCCGTGGGTGATGCCTGACCTAAGATTTTTTATCAAGCGTCGTCAGGGCTGGGAATTAGCTGGGAGCGACAGGCAGTGCCGTAATTCAAGCTAAAATGGTAACCAACTTTAATTTGAAAATATGTCTTACGGTTAACTTTGACTTATGTTAAACTTTGAACTTGTATGTTGCCTTTTAATATGTTGTGTTTAATCTTAGGACGGGTACGCCAAGCACCCTCTTGTTCTAGTGGGGTTTATCTAACCTAACGTGCCAATCTGATTTCAAAACATCGATCAGTCAAAAGACTTCCGATTAGTCTTTTGAATGTAGGCAATTAGCCAGTTCTTTTAAAACTAATTTTATTTTTTTTAATTGACAAATTATCAGTGCAATATGACCAACTAATGTTTTCAGTGGATATGGTAACATATTCCAAATGAACACTCTTAAGTCAATAGCTTTCAGTCTTAATTAAGACATATACTACAGATTTAAGTAGCTTTGCAAAAAGGCAGTGGTGAGCTGTATGAAGCCAAACTTGCTTAGTGGTTCCCTTTTTTATCGAAATAGTTCCAGTATATTCGGACATATATGTAGTGGATGAAACTCAAAGACAAGTGGTTCTCACAACTTGCTGTGACCGCCCACACGTGCAATTGCCCCTGGAACTGGCGTTCCATGTTTCCAGTGCCTTAACCTTTCAAATAATTGGTCAAACCACTTCACTCTCATTGGCTAACACTCATGGCTGTGATTGGTCCAATCAATGAATGATTAGCGCTTCTTCAGAAAACCTTTGGAAGAGGAGGTAAGCGTTTGGCACCTTTGTGCAGTGTGGAGTTCTTTACTTTCTCTTAAATTATTGTAGTCCCCCTCAAAGCGAACGAAAACAGCTTCTACACTGCATTAAAACTGACTTGAATGGCAAATTACATTTGAATTTATCAATACGAATAGCAAATTAGCTTGATTGTGTATCATTTCGTTATTTTTATACGCTCAACTGTGTTCTAAACACTAGACAAATGCATATATTTTGATATTGATGATATTTGAACGTGTAATATTAATACGTTTAGGCGGAGATTCACTGATTGCAGAAGATTGATTTACTGAAACAATCATGTTTAATTTCTAATTTGACGCCCAAGCAAAACTAAGCTTGGTTAAACGAACTATTGGTGCAAATATCACATGGAATAATATGAGAAGCTCCATTTTTATTCCTAAATATATTAACCCCGAGCATACTTAATAACGGCCCTGGTACCACTTGTTTTCTGAGACCAATGTCGTAAAGCTGTTAAACATAAATGAGTCACCAGCAAAAGACGTACACATAATGCAATTTGTATCATACATTACCATTTTTGCTCAGCACAAACACTTGCAACAGTTTGTTTTCTGCTTACTAGGTGCACAAAATTTGACCCTCATATCATTTATGACAACCTCTATGTCTTGTTCTTGTGGACAGTCCTCGGTCAATTTTGTTACCAATTCATTGATTGACTTGGCTAACTCAGGTATTGTATTGTTTTTAAGGTTCTCGGAACACGTAATCACAGTGTGCAAGTCCAAGGGCACTGAAACAAAGGACAAGAGGGCACTGCCAATGGCCAATCCTTTTCCAAATGTAAATGCAACTTTAGATGCTGATTGCCCGACAGATTTTCCAGCGCTAACAACCACCCTTCCCACCCTTACAAACTCAAAAACTGAAGAAGCAGTTTTCAGTGCCACCTGTCCACGTGAGCTAAATTCATTTATATCGGATTCAATTTCTTCCAGACGATGTTCAACTTTTTCCATTGCCTCCGAGTCATCTTTCAGTATCTTTTCTACCTTTTTCTCTGCGTCATTTGAAGATTTTACTTGTATGAAATGACCTGCTACCATGAGGGCTCCACTAGTAGCATCCAGGGCTGCAGCAGCAGCAGCAAGGTAGAGAGAAGTGCCGAAAGTGAAGAATGAGGCAGCGATGCCAGTGATTGCTAACGCAGTACCAGTTAGGCCTGCTACACCACCGCCACGCTGGATTAGAACAATCGGTAAAGCATTCAAGATTGAGTTAAAGTTTGGCCAGTGGAGTTAATACAACACGTCAACATGTTGACAGGTTGTTCTTTTTTAAGAACTGAAATCCCCAGCACTTTCTTTTAATAGTCACCTTCAGGGACAGATAAAGCAGGATGAAACCAAATTTAGATTTTCGTTTCAGACCAAATATTCTCATTTTATACCCCGACTCAAAAACTAAAACCGCCACTAAGCGTACCTTAAAGAGGAAAAAACTCCATGGCTTTTGAACCCCTGTACTGTAACAGGAGCAGCTGGATAAGTAGGGAACTGCTACGTAGATGATAAAGCTAATGTATTTTCTATATTGGGGATTTTATAAGCTGAAGTGACTTAAATTTGCGAACTTTACCCACGGGCAGGGATGAAATGATATTAATATAGGCCTACCTTGGCCTTTTCTGCTTCACGATGAACTTCGGTCAGGTGATCTGCAGTCTCTCGCAGCATTTGTATTGTATCCTTTCTACGGTGAACAAAGTTTCGTACATCTTGTTCCAAAGGTCCAAAAAGAACCTTCAGTTTGCACTCGGTCTCCATCACTACCAGGCAAGAAAATCATGCGAGCAATACTATTGCTGAACGCCATCGAACTACATTTCTATTCAAGGACTCGGAAAACATATTACGTAATGTAACGCCTACGCAAAAATTGAATGTCCCTTTTCAACTCGGTTGTTGCCGTTCATTTCATCTTTAATCATATTGTGGAATTTGGAAGAGTAATTCCCCCCCCACTTTTCCCAATTTTTTTTTTACTTGTCTATACGTATTAGTCCGAAAACTTACTCGTCGAATGGCTGCTCCTCATTTTCCTGCATATCAGGGCACAGGCAATCAGGGCAACGAGAACGCCAATAACGCTGACAATGACGACTATAGGAAATTTTCCAGCAGTTTCAGGCTCTAGACGGAATAATGAACACACAGCAAATAACACATGTTACTCTTTCATCATCTCTTCTTGGAAGAAGCTATGGTCAGACGTGAGGGTTTGGCATTTACCCATTTGTAATTATGTACGTGTTTTAATTTAGCGGCAATATTGGACCATGTCGCAATTTTATATTTAAAAAAATGTTTTTAGGGGGAGAGTCAGCTGTTGTGTAAATAATTCATAAATTCCTTTTCTACTTTTATTTGCCAAAACACGTCATGTGACTATATATTAACATCTGATAATGCCCGCTGCGATTTGATAATGCTCGCTGCGTTAAAAAACGCGCTGGCACCTGGATACGACAGTTTAATGCAGTCTGAGTGCGCGTGGCAGGGGAAACTTGCCGCACGCGCACTCCAAGTCCATACCCCCTTATAATGTAGACAGTCAATGTGGAGTAGAATTATGTATAAACTTACCATTACTTAGAACATCCACGTACGACTTAATAAGTAGACCGTGTTCAAAAAACACATGACACCAGTATCTGACGTCACTATTTTGGGAGCAATTGTTCAGGAGAAGAGAGCCTTCTGGAGAGATGTTGTAGCAGGCTTTGTCTCCAGCACCAGACATCACTTTGGAACGCTCTGGTAGTGCCAGCCTTCCAATTACTGTAGTAGTAGTCTGTTTGGTTGGTGTGCCAAATGACCAGATTATAGTTGTACCACCTTGGATCTCAGTCGCATTTGATGCACCTGAGCACGTTAATGTGTTGTTTTTCCCAACTACATAGTCAATTGTTGAATATACGAACACCTTACTACCGTCTAGTTGAAATTTATCTCCTGTAAATTTTAAAACAAAAAGACTTACGTGCAAACACTTCAAATATTATTGAAAGTCATATTAACGTTTTCTTTTTCTCACTGGAATACAAAACATTCATTCATCGAAATGTTCTTTGAAATGTTCAGTGTGTCAAGAAAAACTGACACCGGAACAGTTACGAACCCGGAAGGGTCACCACTGTTTCGTTTCAAAGTTGACAAAACGTGAATTTGTATTCTCTCTCAGACTACCAATACCTTATACTTTCTAGTCTTTGGGCGTACCTATAACATAGACAGACGTTTCTTCACTAAGACCTTGATCTGCACGACACCGGTATCTTCCAGCATGGCTAGCATCAACAGATTTTATGACCAATCCATAGTCATTAGCAAGATCGAAGTTGGAATCTGCATTAAATTCGTTTCTTGACGCAAGAAGATTTTGACCTGCACTGTCTATCTTGAACCACTCAATCTCACAAACTGAGCTTCCCGTAAAGCTCAAGCATGGTATGCTCTGCTCTTCTCCTTCCAGCAAGTAGAATGACGACTCAGAAGCTTTAAGGGCAGTATCGGGTTTCTGTTCATCTTCATGGTAATAAAGAAATTTGGACCAAACAGTTATTATTATTTCCAAATATTTCAATCTTCAGTAGTCCTTAACTTCGGCTCAAGATTAATATGAGAACAAAGGAGCAAGCGTTGTGGTTTACGCTCTGTTATTTGATTTGACATGTAGACGACAGTCTAAATATCAAGTAATATGTCATTAAAAATTGTCAGTTTAACCACAAATCACGTGATCGAACTTAAAGGAGCAGTTTTTTGTGTATGCATTTTCAGCCCATTGACTTTGTACATGACATTTGTTTTTACGCCACCGTTTTTGTAACTTGATGATTGATCGTTATCAATATGATAGCCAACAAAGACACCGATACAAGAATTATTCCAGATTGATGACGTCATATTGTCATCTTGTGATGTTTTAAATTGATTTTTTTTTAAATTTTATTGTAGGGATCTGGGAATTCCCCTATTAAATCAGCGAATTATGCGACCTTTGAACGATGTGCACGTCTCCAGGGTATGATTGGGTCCACGTAACACTTCGAATGTACATGTTTTTTTTTTTTTTCTAGATGTCACACCTGTCGGCTGGAAGTGGCCTACAGTGTTATACTTTAAGAAGGACTGAAGAAGTTTTGCGGGCTTCCAATCTTTTTTTCGGGGGAGTGCTGGTAGATAAGGCTGCCTTCTCCGAGGTACAGATTAACATTGGATTCCTGGTTGCAGAGAAGGCAAGATTTTTAAAAGGGAAATTCGTCTCATGTTTACAATTACAAAACCAATTGCCATAGGAAAGGAACAGCTGAAACTCGAAAAGCGCCATAGTAGTTCATGGTACAAAACTATGTATATTTGAATATATGCATGTCTAAGATATAGCCCTACTAGAATTTTGCCTTAATAGGGTTAATAAATTTAGTAGTATCGTGTCATCTGCTCTCATAAATTTGTACAGCATTGTTGCCTCACTAGCACCTAAAGCATTTCTTGAACAGGCTCCTGTGTCACTGCTCTTGTCTACAGAAAAAAAAAAAACGAGTTTCGTTGTCTCGGAAATTTAAAGGTTAAAGTTGGCTTATGTTGCTAGAGAACAAATAACAGCCAAGCCTGAATGTATAACGATGATACTTACCTAACCAGCGGACATCGATGTGGCAGTGACTCTGCGTATTGTCGGACATAAATACGTGACACCAAAACCGTTGGTTACCGATGCCATCGGTGGGAAAATAGACTATCAATGAAGCCTTGCTGCTAATGGTGTAATCAGCATGATCTTGGATCTGCACAAATGCATCATCGGAGAAACGTACACCGATGATTGTTGTATGTTCAGTGACCCCCTCTCCCCGTGACCAGTACACTGCGGATATGTGTGGAACAGGTGTTTCTGCAGCGCACTGGCAAGGCAGCATCTGTCTGCGCCCTCGTTGGAAACTGGTAGTGGACGATTTATCACTGGCATGCGCAGGGAAGGTTTCTCCTACAGCAGTGGAAGACGATTGAAAAATTTAATAATTGGAAACCTGAACATCGGAATCATTCGATTTCTTCTTATTAATTTTAACTGTTCACAAATACTTTCGTTGGAATTTCTGAAAAAGTCAATTAACTTCAATATTAATTTAAGAAAAGCACAACAGTGTATATTCAAACTTTACAATATGCTTTGAATATACCAAAAAATACCAACTGCAGAAACTCTCCTCTTTCTCTCTTTCTCTTTTCTGCATCCTCAGTGCCTACAGTGCTTATGCCAGCTTGAGAAACCCCTCTTCACTTTCGACCAAAAAAGTTATAACTTGCACAGACTGCAACTACAACACCAGAGCAAAGTAGTATTAAAGGCTAAGCAGTGTCAAAATGCCAACATAAAAGAACACACTCAGCAAAAGAAACAGAAACAAGAACAGGCAAACAAGATAATGCCTTTTCAATATGTATTTTTGCGTTGGGGAGATGTTAATTTATATAACGGGTTTTGCCCTTACCCAACGTATATATTAATAAACACTGAACGCCCAGTGCTTGTCCAAGAGCTTGCAAAAAAGTCACAAGCTTACCCAGGTGGGACTCGACCCCACGACCTCCTGTTACTAGTGCAGACGTCTCGGTGGTCGAGTGGTTAAGAAGTCTGCACTAGTAAGCATGACTTTTATATCCGTTTAGTCATATGCATGCAACCAGTTAACCTGAAGCGTTTATGAGCTAATTTTAATCTATATATTTATGTTAAAACAATACTTAATAACTTACCTATGACTTGCACGTCTATCTTCTCAACCCTGCTGTCAGTGATTTGAGGAATGACTTGGCAAATATAGCTCCCTTCGTCACTCTCCTCGACACCTTTAATGACGAGACTGGAATCAGACGAGAAGGAATATCTGGCACTTGAAGGGATGTCTTTGACACCGTCACCACGAAGATCACGGCTGATAAGACGAATCTTGGATCGGTCATTAATGTTGGATCCCTTGTACCAAATGACGCCGTCAAGTGCCTCTTCGCGACGAAACGATAGACAAGGAATTCGTTGCCAGGCTGATTTTTGAAGATAGTTTGAAACGCCAAAGGTTTCATGAATACTAGTTTCTAAGTGGCAAACAGGGGGAAAGAATATATGAAACATTAAAGTAGCTAGTTTATTTCCAAACTTTCAAACTTGCATTTTTGACTGACAGAAGCAACTTTCGGGGATTTATTTATAAGTATTTTCCGGTTTGTTTTGCTCTTTTTGTTTTCTTACTTGGTTGTTTGTTCTGTGTGTGAAACCAGCCTTAGCTTTGAAACAACATCTGTAATTTGACCTCGGCGTTTGCAAAGCAATTTTATTGCTCATGGCATCAAGGGAAATCAGGTACGTACAGGACATGGCACACCAAAACAATATTAAGAGTTTCAGTTTGGGAAGCGACACTGGATTATTTCTAAATGTTCTGTTAGAGCATACAAGATCGTGTCTGGTCCGGAAATAAACAATAAGCAAACTTTTTTTCAGTTTTAGCCTTTGGTTTTATTTCTTTCAAAACCAAGGATTCCGAAGTAGAATCAACTCAAGCTGCGCATGATAGTGACAAATCGAATTAAGGGATCTTAACTGCATGTACATAGGCACGGGAGTAACAAATTTGGGTCAGTCAGAACCAAAGATCGCATAGTGCCGCGTAGCGCGGCGGTGCCAGATGGAGAACTTCACCATGAACACGCTCGTAACGTTGAATTTTGCATGGACGTCATTTGAACGAGCAAAGTACGAACAAAATCCACAGACGTTTATAAGCCAAAACATTAGGAGGAATGATATCTAGCCCTTTGTAGGAATAGGTAAAAAGGCTTGCTGTAGCACCATGCGAAGGAATGTATCTCTTATGAGTATGTGTGGTTCTGAAAGGAACTGGGAGTATACTCAACGTTTCGGACTGCGTGCTCCTGACAACGGACTTAACACGCAGTCCGAAACGTTGAGTATACTCCCGGTTCTTTTCAGAACCACACATACTCATATTAAAAGAGATATATTCCTTCGCATGGTGCTACCGCAAGCCTTTCCACCTATTGCTGTCTTTCACCATGAATAGCCTGAAATCCCATCCCTTTGTACATTCTGGCACATTTTTGCCCATGACATCGGAGGTGATAAGGTTAATTATAAACAGCATTTAATAATAAAGTAAAATGTACTAAATTCCCTAAATGAACTGGGGAGAAACAACTCCTACCCGTGGTTGTCAATCAATAAACAGTAAATATTGTTATATATCAAATGCTGCTACCAGACAATTCCATTTCATCCGTCTTCAGTTTTTCATATTTTCATCAGAATTGACAATTTGGAGGGGGGGTAAGTTTTTGGAAAGAAAAAAAACTTTAATTGTTTGAAGGTTCCCCTATTCTGAAATGATCATTCAATAGATGTACATCGCTGCTTCCATCTAATAGCTTCAATTTTGATCAACTGTATTTTTAATAAAAGAACACCCCAAGGCACACATACAAATGAGTACAACAAGACTAGCAATCAACAAGAACATCATGCATTTAATGTAATTTTTTTCCTCATAAGCATATAATTGCAGTGCACAATTTTTACCATTAGTGTTTCAGGCTTGATACACTGTGAATATAATACTCGATGTCTTTTCAGTTTTTGTCAATAAAATGTGAGGGTTTAAATTGTATAATACTTCCACTAATTCTCCCAGTTACCTTTCAATGCACTAAAAGATCAGTTGGCTGTTCATTTACAGGCTCAGCTTCCACTGAGATTACACAAAGTCTACAAAAAAAACAAAAACAAAACAAAAAACAAAAAACACAAGCGTACTCGGGTGGGACGACCAACAACCTCCTGCTTACTAGTGCAGACGTTTTAACCACTCGATCACTGAGCCTGCCGGTGTCGGCTGGCTGGTTTGAATCAGATGGAGCAGCGGGTACCGCGAACAACTATTTCAACGATGGACTTGCGCCGAGGAGATAAAATTAATTTTGCATTTTTGTACTGGACTAGCAATTAGGGACTGGCAAAAAGGGTCCTATTTCCTCGACATTCAGCCTAGGGAAATAGGACTCTCTTCTGGTCACTCACAGTCCCTCAGGAACATAGACACGCACGAGTGACCGAATTTGGCCAGTCCATATGTGTTTTTTAAAACACCTCAGATTAGAAAAATTTCGACCAAGGTTTCAACTGTTCTAATTCAACTTTCTATAGCACTTCAAAAATTGCCAAATATTTGAAGGTTTGTTTTAGTTTCACAGATGCAGTCTAATTTTGAGTCGCTGTATACAAGTAGGAAAGTAAATCTTCCATGGTTCGAACTGTTTCAGTTCAGGGCAACCTCCAGTGGACGCAATAACCAGTCAAACTTTTTCAAGAATTTTACGTGACCGGCCACTGAGGCTAGTCTCTGGAATTGATGTGTGCGCGCAATATCTAGGCGCGTGTCGGGTCACGCTTACCCGGACCCCAAATTCATGTACCAGCCTGTGGTAGTGAACCACACGTGACCGTATTCCAGCCAATCAGGAAAAAGAACCAGGAGGAGGTGTGTTATAACATTTGATTATGTCAGCCGCCAAGAAGTGACAATGCCCGATAGTCACGCACTGGTGCCTGGATATCAGACAGTTTGGTTAAGACTTAAGAGTGACCTCGCCTGCGGCTCATGCATTAGTCGCGTCCATTCTCCTTAGCCTGTCTTAAACGAACATTGAAGACCAACCATGCAATTATTTATTCCCTTATTGAACATATTGAAAATTTTCATTTTCACTGATTTGTAGTGTGTAATTCAAGTATTGATTACAGTGTCATATGATGGGATCCCATTTATTCGGGTCAAGAAGAATACGATGATGAAAGGAACCAGGAAAAAAAAAATTAAATATGATATGAATTTTACTAAAAGCCCTAGAAATTGCATCTTGGGATTTCAGTTCACCTGATTTTAAGTTTTTGCTTTGCAATTTTAACCAATATTTTGATGCCTTTTTGTTTTTATGTTAATGCATATTTGCATATTCATGAGCAGAACTATGATGTCAACCAAGGCATCGAATCTCAATGTTGCACTGGTTTGTGCACAGAAAATTTCTAGATGTTTCTTAATTGCTGCTATGGCAGAATTTATTTTCTTTGGCAATTTACCGCTGTGGAAATAATCCAGCAAAAATCCTATTCACAGAAATGATCCCAGATAGCAAATTTGGGATTCACAATTTAAACGTGAAAACATGCAATCTGGATCATGTCTTCCTGGATTTACATCAATACAAAAGCGCCCTCACTTGTGCAAAAATGCTCGGTCAGTTTGTAATGTTTTAAAAAGTGCACTGTTCAGTTTACGTAACTCAAAACATATCAAACAGTCTTCATACATGCAGGACGACTACAGAAATACACAACAAAACTGATTCTAAAAATCAATCCCTGGTTCCTTTAAAGTAAATAGGATTCCTACTGAAGAATCACCGATAGTGGTTAGGAATGTCTTCTTTAAACTGCCTTGATAGACTCGTGTAAAATACAGGACTTAATTAAACGTTAACAGCTAATCCATTCCCACTTCTTTTACCTGGAACGTAGACTTTTTTGCAATGGAAATTGTTCTCGTCAACGTTGGCATTTCTTGCATTGGACAAATGTGCCTAAATCTGGTCTGCATTTTCATTGGTTTTGCTAAAGAAATTATACTTCTTCTCTCTTGCAAGCTCTAGGGTTCATTCACACACGCAGGCGATACTAGAAATTGTTAAAATGGAGCAAAAATCCCGCGCGATATATGTGGAAATGGGCCTTTACTGGAGCAGCCTCGCCACCTTAGACTTCACATTGTTGCTGCGCGTTGTTGCTCCACATTGTATCCCGGAACTTGCTCGGGGTTTGCTTAGATTCTGTGATGACCGTTTTAACGAAGGGGAAATTTTTGCGATGTGGTGTCAGACTAAACTTTCAACAAAAACAATGAAATCTTATTACACAGAGTTTGTAAAGGTATCCGCAAGTGTTGATTGATTATATTCTATTAAGGTTCCAGGCCAGTATAAATAGACCCAAAATAGCCTTTGCAGACAGAATCAAAATGGCAGCCTGTAAAATCATCTGCTATTAGAGCATTTTATGACGCGTGGACTGGATGGTTTGTAAATAAAGAGCATGGAACCTAAACCAAACTGGACACTCGACATTGCTTTGATTGCAATGAAGTGTGAGCATTAATTTTCAAAATGGCGATGGCATCATGACAGTTTTGATGAGTGATTATATCTGGATATCTTCAAAGCCTATCGGGCCACTGAAAATTGAAAGGATATTGAAAGATGAGAAGTGAACCTTACTAATTTGATATGTGTCTTGAACACCTGAGAAACTTGTATATTTCCTGACTTGTTGAAGTGTAATTAATGAATTAATTAAAACCCTTCGGTGTTAGACCTTGCTATTTCTAACACCAATGTGAAACCCTGACCATGCTTTGGTCACACATATTCTGCAGTAAAATGGGACTCATAAATTACATTTTCCCACTCCTCTCTGATTAAATCCGATGGAAACCCTCCCAGGCAGGTTGTAATTGCATTTTTTGGGGGGAAAGTCCTTTTTGGGGGCGTGGCTCGTATTGGGGTAGGGGGCACTTTGCATCTTGGACCCATAATAAATAACATTTTCACCCTTCTCTCTCAATACAACGCAAGCCAACGGATGGCAAAAGGCACCACAGCATGAGTGTTTGGTCATTCTATTTTTCCCCCGCAAGGCCGATCTCACATGTCTCAACAGGTCAACAGGTGGCCTCGGCTTAGCCCCGCCACGCCTGGCCAGCCCAATAACAACAAAGTCAGACAGAGGGAAATAACTATCTGTTGTGGCGTCAGCAATACAGCTCCAGACACGCTGATGATCCCAAACAGTATTCCATTGGTCTAAGTTCACTGGCCTTGTTCACTAATACAATAGGGGAGAGGGTATTTTCGTCACAACCATATGCAGTGGGGATTGTGTATGTAAACACACGGTAAGATGTTGGATAGGGCATGTTTTAGGCTGGCTTCAGTGACTGCCAAGATTGAACCCCCTCCAAAAGTAGCAG